GTTCGGCGGCTTCCAGGTGGTACCCGCTCCTGACGGCCAGTTTGCCTTCCTCATCCCCAACGGGGCCTTCGCTCACAGCGGCCCGGTCATCCCCGTCTACACCAGCAACAGCGGGACCTCCGTGGGCCCCAACGCAGTGTCGCCTTCCAGCGGCCCCTCGCTCACGGCGGACTCCATGTGGAGGCCGTGGCGGAACTGAGGGGCTCAGGCCACCCCGCCCCTTAAACTCCCCAACACACTGCTCTTCTCTCCGGACACTAAACAGGAACTTGAATACTGGGAGAGAAGAGGACTCGTGACTAAGTGGTTACTTTGTTTTGGTTTTTAATTTCTAAAAGTTACTTTTTTGTAGAGAGCTGTATTAAGTGACTGACCATGCACTATATTTGTATATATTTTATATGTTCATATTGGATTGCGCCTTTGTATTATAAACGTTCAGATGACATTTCGTTTTTTACACGAGATTTCTTTTTTATGTGATGCCAAAGATGTTTGAAAATGCTCTTAAAATATCTTCCTTTTGGGAAGTTTATTTGAGAAAATATAATAAAAGAAAAAAACGAAGGTTTTTATGTCTTAGAACTGATTATTTCAGAATATGCAAAAAAAGAAGCTTTTGGTGGAATATGAATTACATGTAATCTTGAATTCAAGAATTGGCTCTTTTGCTATTAAAAGAACATTTTTTAAAAATCCGTCAAACCTTTCACCAACCCTCCGTGAATCAAAAAGACTAAATTCCATTTAATTTACAAGAAGCCATCTGAGATGGCTTTCCTGATAAATCTGTGGTCGAGCTCTTAAAGGATTTCCAAAAAAATGTTTTAAAGTTGCAGCCGGGTAAGTCTTCAGTCCTTGTTCTGTGGCTCCCTCTGAGGAAGGTGAACAGGACTGAATTCATGAAGTTAATGGATCCAATCCTACTGCCCATTGCACACTAAGGGCGGCTCTGCTCCGCTGGGGTAGCTCTTCAACATCTGAAGTAAAAGCACTTTAAGTCTCCTTCAGGTGTTGGGAGGGGGTCATTAGCTAGCCAGTCCTTAGGTGCAGGTAGACATTCCCCAGCACCCAAAAGTTTGAAAGGCCTCTCTGCACCCTCTTCAAGCAAGCTGAAAAGGTCAACAGATTCCTTCTGCCAAGGGACAGTTAGCTAGACTCCCAAGTGGAGCCTGAGCCCAGATGATTAACACCAGACATGTGTTTTTGATAAGTTTCTGTGCTTGGCTCTAATAGAGAAAGCATGTGGAGGCTGCGCTGGCAGGCTCACAGGCCATCTCCCCCTTTTAATACAAACAGCAAGCGACCCCTTCGCTTGGTCATGCCCCATTTCCAGGCAAGATGTGGGCTCCAGATAGAAGCAAAAGGGTTGTCTCGGGTTTCAGCTCACATAACCCTCCTTAACAAGTCCTAACTCAAAGCGGACAGCTTTAAACTGTGCCAGGATCTGCAGGGAATTTCTTCCAAATCCCATCACAAAGGCTTGTCAGATTTTGTCAGATTTGGCCAGGTGTTTGACTGCATCCAGGTGTTGGGGAAATGAAAACCACGAGCCCTGCGAGACCAGACACATCAGCCGCGCTGTG